TATTAACAAATATGCTTAGATTTTTAAGTAGTTTGAATTATAGTGATGCCCTCAGTGTCTGTCTTTTGCTTAAACTGCCCACTTTGTTCTTTTTAAAGATTGCAGTTTAGAAGCATTGTTGAGGTTGGCGCTGTTTACTCATTAATTCATGTTAAACTGTTTATGTCCCGAGATTGTTATTTTACTGGAAGAATAAGAATGGAAAGGGGAAGAAAAGTAAGTGAAAAGAACAAAGCAGCTTATTTTTTAAATTTTTGCAGACTTTGATATTCAAACCTACTTTGGTGAATTTATTTACCAGATATCACTAAAGACCCAATGTTTTTGTTCTTCTTCATTTCTATAACTATCACTCTAAACTTCTAGAATTATCTGTTTTTAAATGGTTTCCTCTAATTTCCTATGAATATTATCATCTTACCTCATTTGGTATTTTTGTTTGCTTGTTTTAGTAAGTCATAAAACGCTTATTAGAATTTGTTATTTTTTTAATAGCTCATAAAAAAGCTTAGCACTGTGATGCCTCTCTGATGGTTCCTCCATGCTCCATTTGTGTGATGCAGCTAGTTAACCCTTCAAAGATCCCTGTGGGGGATTAGCTGACCTCAGTCTGAGCTACTCCACTGGGAGCTGATTATTTTCTAGTAAGTCCTCATACAAGGACTTTCACATTCATTGTGAGCATCAAGGAGATCGGGGATTACTGGTAACTATTTGGGATCAATAAAAAATAAAAGTACATTTCCTTTCTTTCTGCCAGTTACATTCACAAGCTGTAATTAAGAAGTATAATTTGGCAAACTTGTCAGGGAAAATCTCTTCTACACAAAGACAGACAAGGATCATTATATCTACCTAGTAAACAACTGAAGCCCTCTTGCATTATTTATAGGTTTGCTCGTATTTCTTAGCACAATTAGGTCTCTTGGTAACTAGCTTCTATTCACATTAAGCTTTTTCTTGTTCATTTCTACATAATTCATTCTCACTGTTGACTTTTTTTTTTTATTAAGACTATAGGAAAAATCACTCATCTACTCATTCAATCAGCTGAACATGGTCTGTCTCTAATGCTGCCCAGATACTGTTGCATGGAATAAACCATGTTAATATCCCTCAATTTAATAAATAAGGTCTCAGGGCCCCTTGAACTGTTTGTTACACATAATCCAACAGCTTCACCGCACTAGGGCATTGATCTTACTCTGTTTCCTGTAATGAACTTCTGCATGCACATTTTAGATCTAGTAATTCATTTCACTCTGATTATTCAAACAAAATGACAACATGGCTTTACATGCTGAAGGGTAATCCAAAGGCCTAAAGAGCTCTTCCTTTTTGCATCCTGAATAATAAAAGAGTTTCATTCCTCTTCATGAAAATGAAAACGAGTAGCTATAGAATTCTGAATTCTATTAGTTTTTCTTCAAAGCTACATCAGTAGCCTTCTAGCTATATGCTCATGTACGCATAACACAGATATCTCTGTCCTTTTAGCTCAACCCAGTGATATCTGTTCTCATTTGTTCCAGGAATCTTTCTTAAAACAACTCAAAATTCAGCTTACATGAAAATATTCATTTAAATTTTCATCCTTTTTTATTCAAATTTATGGGACATTTAAAAGATACACAAAAGAAGAGGAACTAATACAATGAATAAATGAATACTACTAGTGTACTTATCACCCAGCTTAAACAGTTTCTAACATGTTGTCATTCTTAGTTATTTGCCTCTCCTCACATGCTTAAAAAGGCTTTGCTGGATATTTCAAAGAAATAGCAGACAATATATATATTATCCATAAATAATACTTATTTTTAAATGTAGCAATAGAATTATTATAACATTAAAATTAACAGTTCTTTAATATTATCCAATGTTTAATTTTCTCCCATTATATCAGAAATGTCTATTATGGTCCAAATCATGGTCCATAAAGGTCTCCACATTAATTGGGTTTCATCACTTTTAATCTAACAATTCTGCTCACTATTTCAGAGCATGTAGTGATATTTGTTGAAGAAACTAATGTATCTTTCTATTATGTCAGTATTGTTGAGTGAGGTTGCCTACCTTAAATCACACGTAATCCATAAGTCACTCACATAGATGTGACTTTCAGGACCTTTTAACCTGCCTGTCCATGACACTTAAATAAAAATTGGTATGTCTCATGCAATCTTGTAAAATAAAATGATAAAATCAGCATAAAGTTAAACATAGAGTTTTGCCTTAAAAATAATTATTCTGATTGAGAAGTCAGATGGTTTCATTTCTAACCATTATATTTTCTTCACCCTAGTAGCAGGAAGTTCATTTCAGATTGCATTCCTATGTTTGAATTGTGCTTCCTCTAAGTCAGAAAGTAACCAACTTGAGATATGTGATACATTTTTAGTATATTGTATTAATGGTGTTATTTCTTTTTGTTTAGGTAACATTGAATAAGTAGTTCATGCAAAATATGCTGTCTAAAATCTCAGATAAGTAGAGTAGAATGCTGAGATTCTGAGAAGAGATAGGGGGATTTTACACATTTTTTAAATCTTCCAGCTAATTAATATACTTAAGATTTTTTACAGACTGTAGGTATATAAAGAAAAGGGATTCCGATTTATATAAATATTGTAGGTCTCCATAAAGTAAGTTCATTAGTTTTTAGAAATGTGTTGGTAGTGGTTTTATTTTATTGTTTGTGTTTGCTTATTTTATGTCACTTAATGTAATGATTTTTGGAACAATTTCAAATAAAGCTCATCAGAGAAAATCTTAATGGAGAGAACCTAAGGCAAATTTCATATTGTTTCAAAATATTTATATTTCAGTCTCTGTTTTAAGGAGTCACATTAGATAAGTAGATAAAAGCAGACTTATTTCAAATAACACAATTTTTTTTTTGTTTGCTTGGTTTTGTGGCTTTGTTTGGTTTTGTTGTTTTTCATTAGTTATGCACAAATGCCAGGTAGACTTTTTTCTGCCAATTAAATTATAATGTTTGGATTTAGCAAGGCCCTTAACATTTTCTAAAAGCTATCCAATTGCTTATAATCTGTAACCAGTCTTAACATTAGGCTGTTATGTTGAACACAGAGCACCAAACAAATCCTCTTGCAGATGATGGGTACCCTGGGTGCACCTGTCTTGTCCTGTCACACAACCCTCACATAGGCCTCACATAGGCCCATTCTGCCAGGTCTTCATATCTTCAAAGTTCAGGGACTGCTGTTTTCTTCATATGCATTACACTAGCTGGAGACCTACCTATGGCCAAGATGTAGAGGAGTGTGTTCATACATTTGCAAAATTATGTTACTTTTCATACAGAAATTTCAATAAGTTGTGTTTACTTGCACAGAGAAAGTCTGCCCTTACACATATCACTGTGTTAATAAGGCATAAAGGAAACATGCATGCCAGGGCTAGCAAGAAGCAGGTTTATTGTACCTGTGTTGACTCAGCAGCTTTGTATCCCAAAGCTGAGCGCCATCTGTAGGAAGTCAGGGGCTTAGATGTATTTTCAGTTTCTACAAGGTTCTGTGTGGGTTTGCACAGGCAGTAATACATGGCCAGATAAGTTGTGGCTGCATCCAAGAGGTGATTGTATAAGTGCATAGCAAGGGGTAAATAAAGGGTGGTAAAGGGTCAGTAGTCATGAGAACCCCAAGCCCATAGTCGTGGGACCCCCTAGGTCCATCCTGCCTCATGGCAGCACACGATCAGACATGAAGCAATATTTACATCAGGGATATATAATATTACTTTGCAAACCAAGGACTGAGCAAAAGATTGTTACTAAGATCCCCAGACTGCTCTACTAGGTATAAGTTTGAGCATACAGATCTAACCTAATTCCCCCAATGCCCTCTCTGTAATTTAGGTCAACATGTCAGGCCCCTTCACCTTAGTCTAAAGGTACTGGATTCCTGAGCAGGGTAGAGATAAACAGCAGTTACAGCATAGATCATAGAAAGGCCATGTAACTCCGTCTGAGCAGAGCTAGTTAAGCTAGCTTCATGAGGACTTTAGAACCATGGTGTAAATGTTTTCTGTCTTCATCTATATCCTCAGACAGTGAATGAATGATTTCTAAAACTAATGGATGGCAAATGAGAGCAAACTTTTCCATCATTTTCTGTTTCTTTAATGCCTGTCAGTTTAAAGCAGTTTTACACCTACACCTAGTGTCAATATGGTAGTTTTTTAAATTCAGGAGAATAGTATCTTAAGAGCAGTATTGTATATGAGTCAATTTCATTTGATCGTTTTAAAGTCCATATATAACTGCAGAAATGCTGATATGGTAGGTATAAGATTGCTAAATATTTTTATTTGTATTTTAAAATTCATGATTGATATTTGTACATAAGAAGGAGTTGTAGACAGAAGGGTAGGTACTGACACTGCAGTCACCATGAACCACTCCAAAGTCATTCCAACACACTCTCTGTGTAATAGGAAACAAATACCTGCCTTCTATGCAGGTTCTGTAAGTATCCCCTCTCCACCCAAGCTTTCCACCCAATTTGCTGCCACTAAATCCATTTCATACAGAAATCCTGGAATGGCCAATGATATAAAAACAAGGATTAGAGGAAAGTGGTGTCCCAGTATACCCATAAATACCCTGTATTCAACATAAACTATCATCAGAATTCATATATTATTTATTAGCATAAATAATTCATTTCTAAATATACTCCACATGTGAATTAAAATTCTTAATAGCATCTAATAACTGCTAGCTGCTAAGCATCTCTGTGTATGGGGGAGGGGGCCTCTTTTGTGTTACAAAATAAAACAGGAGGGCTATCTGTTATTAAAAATATCTATAGGATTAATTTAACAACTACTGTGATTATTAGAAACACTCCTACCAGATTTCTGATGCAAATTAATAATTGAAAGAGGAATCCTCTTTATGCCATTATGTTAATTTCTGAATTAGAGAATAATCACAACATTGAGTTTATTATAACAGCTTTACACTTTTCCTTTAGCCATTACTTGTCGAAAGCAAGATGGAGGGCAAGCCAGCATCCATGAATGCCTCCAGTATGCAGGCCCAGTGCCAACCCTCACCCAAGCATGCCAGGTTCCCTGCCAAGATGACTGTCAATTTACCAGCTGGTCTAAGTTCTCTTCATGCAATGGGGATTGCGGTGCCATCAGGACCAGAAAGCGCACTATTGTTGGTAAGAATAATGGGAGGCCAAAGCTAATATTTTTCAAGGTAGAAAAAAACACAATAAAAGTCAGGCCAAGAGAATTTTGACAATTTGTTTTGAAAGTGCACAGATAGGTCTTTATGCTGCTGTACTTATATCTAATATACCAGTGTCTTTTAATGTAAGCTAACAGTGACAGATGTGTTACATACTTTTAGTAGAAAGGAAAAGTACCCATGAGAATTGAATTCTGTCTCTATGCTACATGACAGTAATTTTTCAGATTAAACATGTGCTTTTGGTGGATTGCTTACAGACATGAAGAGAAAAGTTTTTGGGGGGGAATAAGAGGAAAGGTCTCTATTTCACTTTCATACTGTCATTTTGACTGTCAGAGTCTCATATAATTCTCATCTCCTAGAAAGAGGATCCATTATATCTCCATCTGAAAACTACATTTTCACAGCCAGACACAATGACAAAACACAATGTTATTGAATAAAAAAAGCAGAAGTTACCATACTAAATAACCCTGATGCATTTGAAATTGTCAGAAACATAAAAGAAAAGAATAAAATTTTTTTTAAAAATGGGACATTAAATAGTGATACCAGTAGACTAGTCAGAATTTAGAAGTGAACTACCTGTCATCAAGGGAACTACCTGCCATAAAATGAACTAGCTGTCATAATGGAAACTATATAAACTATTTATGAAAATTGGAGAGAAATATATGTAGCAAGATTTAATTATTTGCAAATAAAAATACAGAATATGATATATGCAAAAACTATAATAGAAATATCTTACCTAATTAAATTAGATATATAATTTGTCAAGCTTGTGTGTTATTACTATATTCATGTTCTATTTAAAGGAAAATTTATATATTCAAATGATTTTGTGATTATTTTAATTATTTTATTCTGATGTTAAATATGTTCATTTCACATATAATTGATATTCCTACATAATCATGAATGTCAAAATAATTATTATTCAGAAATGCTGAAAAATGAAAACTCATAACCAGTAATGTCAATCCAGAAACTTCATTTCCTGAACTGTAATCCAATATAATTACACTATTTCACATTAACAAAAGAGCTGTACAAGCAGATGTATTGACCCTCTCTATTTCATACCTTTCCATATGATATAAAGTAGTGATTTATGCAATTATCTCAAACTCCCTTTCAATGAAAACACATGATCATGTGAGAAGATTTTGATCATTTGAAGCACATAAAATTCAACACACCAATAAATGGCTTTAAGCAAAACGGGCTTTTTTAAAAAAAAAATTGTCTGGGGTACAGGCCAGAGATGCAGTAGGTAAGAGGATTCAACAGAGACAGAGCGGGGAGCAGAACAAGAGCGAGGAGCAGAACAGGCAGATTGAAGAAGTATACTGCTGAGGGGAGCAGCGGGCGGGTCAGGAGAGGTCTGCCGCGCCATGTGGATCT